TTATTGTTAAAGTCAGATTAATATCACATTAGATCCTATATCAGATTAAGATCAAATTATTGTACGTTGCATTTAAGTTGCATTGCAAGTCAATAATATTTACCTTTAACTCGTTGTGCCACCTCTGCCTTGATGTCACGGTTGACCAGCACATGGGGCTCAATCCACAGCAGACAAAAGGCTGGATCCAAGGCAGCTGCTTTCAGGTAGACTGTGTCTGAAAAGGGGGCAGTGATCCCTTCTTGAGACTGGGCCATTTTTACATTAATGAAGATCCCAAGAAATCTTTTTTTCAGGGATGCCTGCAGACCTCTGACCAGGCCACTCAGGAAACGAACTTGAGGCTTCAGCTTCTCAAGATGGTGATTGAGGGACAAGATGGATGGAACAACTGCACTGATTGTAATGACTTTCTCCCCCTGTGTCAAATCAGTTGCTTCTCCGAACGGTTTTAAGATGTCCACCAACTCCTTCAGCAGATTCCACTCTCGTGGTGTGAATGACAGTTCTTTATGCCCGGCCTTCTCAAGAACTGCGCAGAGCTTTTGCTGATCACAATGAAGGACTGCTTTTACCTGCCGCAGTGTGGAATTCCACCTCGTGCTCACTGCAGCAGGGATGCCTCTGTGCTCCCCAAATTCACCATCGAAGATGTCTTTAAACGTTGTGCTTGTGTGGAGCAGGGAGCTAAGTTTTGATAACTTGGAGAGAGAAGGACATGCCGCTTTTGTTTCTTTCAAACCGTCTCCCACAACCAGCTGCAATGTGTGTGCAAAACACTGCAGGCGCTGTTTCTTTGCCATAGCAGCATCGACGGTTTGCTGGTCTTCTTGGGTTAAGTCATGCCATAGCTCAGGATCATCAAGATTATCTCCAGCATCTTCATCTTCCTCCTGTTCGCTGGGGAAGCAGACTGTAAATGCCTTGCGCATGTTAGCAGCATTGTCAATAATTATATAGTCCAATTTAGCTTTGATGTTGTATTCATCACATATTGCCTCAAATTGGTCACAGATTCGCTCTGCTGTGTGAGAGCCTTTGAAGCGGTTGCAGGCCAAGAGATTAGTCTTTAGCTGTACCCACTCTGCATCTCGCTCCATCCAGTGCACAGTGACACCAAGGAATCCCCTCATCTTTCGATCAGACCAAATGTCCACAGTGACTGAAACATGGTCAGTGTTGCTCAATTGAGTTTTTAACTTTGACCGTCTCTCCTCAGCAAGGCTCTCTGTTTTTGTGGTCAGCGTTCGGCGACATACTGGGGTATACTTGCTGTCCAGCACAGCCAGAAAGTGACGAAAGCTCTTATTTTCCACAATAGACAGAGGGAAATTGCAATCAATAATCAAGTCAGACAGTATCGCATTGGAGATGGCCTTCTGCTGTGGGTGGGTCAGGCTGTAACGCCCTACACGAGTGTCAAGGAATTGTGAGATTGAAGGCTGTTGTGGTTCATCTACGATGATTTTGTTCATCTGGTATTCTTCATACCTGTAACAGAGAAGAATATGAAACAGATGTCAGAAAATCCTTTACAGCCACACATGTTGTATTTGAAACTACTCTTTACTCATATCAATGTTGTTGTGTTAATATTCATTGCCTATTGTACACTACGGTTTACGATAATACATTTCAGTGTCAGTGTATGCAATATTAAGAATATTTTCACTGCTTCAAAATTCATAAGAAAGCCCTTTCCCTCAAGAAACTGAAGTCATATGCTTTATAGCAGTGGTTTTCAAAGTGGGGACGGGGACCCTTGGGTGCCGCGAGGGGGTTCTAGGGGGGCCATGGCAAGTTGGCATGAAAAGTATAGAAAAACAAAATAATTGAATAAATTAAATAACTAAAGTAAACCAAATTAAACCAAAAATAAGCTAAACAATATTCCCATTAGTTAAGAACTGCACTATAATAATCTATTGCATCTCTGAACATTACTACTATAATCGTTATTATTTTATTATATACTGTATATATCCCAGTGGTGCGCTGCCTCACAGACCTACTGTAGACTACGGTAGCACTCTGTCCATGCGCTGTCTGCTGTTTGGGCATGATATGAAAAGGGAAGGCTAATGGTGGATCTACTGTGACTGTGTTATCATTTTCCTCTTTACAATGTATACGTCTTACTATGTTTCCTGTTGTACTTGGATGGGTTTAGGGATGCACCAACTACATCCGAGTTGTGAAAGGGGGTGCATTCATTGTTTAATTGTGATATTTTGTCTTCAGCGACAGTTCAGCTTAGTTGTGATTAACCAAAATTACATAAACGACCTCAATGAGGCAGCACACCAGCAACTCTGAAACTGAATTCTAAAACGCTTAACGTGAAAAACGCTTAACGTTGCTTAATGCTTAATATACTAAGACAGTAATATTATAAGACCAAACTCTGCAAATATCATATTAATAAAGCATACTATGTACAAAACATCAGATGAGCCCAGAATACATAGTAGCCTACATAAGACATGTTAAGCCTTTTCTTATAATGGTTTTCTATGGGAGGAAAACACTTAACGTGTTGTTAAACGTGTTTGCGTTCATATTCTGGCCTCATCTGATGTTTTGTACATTTAGTATACTTTATTAATATGATATTTATAGTTTGGTCTTTTAATATTACTGTCTCAGTATATTAAGACACGTTAAGCCTTTTCTTATAATAGTTTTCTATGGGAGGAAAACGCAACGTGTTATTAAACGTGTTTGCGTTCATATTCTGGGCTCATCTGATGTTTTGTACATAGTATACTTTATTAATATGATATTTACAGAGTTTGGTCTTTTAATAACACTGTCTTAGTACATTAAAGAACGTTAAGCGTTTTTCACGAAAGCGTTTTAGAATGTCCATATAATAGCAGTTCAAAAATCCATATTTTTGTAAGCATGAACCAGCAAGGGAGACGTGCGTTTGTCTCGTTGATACAGTAAATATGCAGCAGCTAGCTAGTAAGTTACGGTACATCCGATAAGGTGCGTAGCATTCGTTCAAAACTTACCTTTCTTTGTGCAACTTCAGGTGTCGAACAAAGTTGGACGTTGTGGCAGCTCCGTCTGTAATCTTCGATCCGCATGTTTTGCAGATTGCAACTCGTTTTTTGTCGACTACCTCGTAATTTTTATAGCCAAACCAAACTATCTTCGGTATCATTTTGACAACTGGCGCGTTGTTGCTTGATGTGCTTCATTGGTTGTCTTGCAATGTGCCTGCTTAGATGCTGTCGAATCAAAACAACGTGGGACTACAGTGATTGGATAACGTGCAGGCAGCGCGCGCTCTCTGTATGCATACAGGTGGATGGTGCACATTTTTTTCACAGATGCAGATAAACGGAGAGCGGCGCGGCCGTGTGAATTTTTTTCCCCCCAGTTTTCATGGGAAGTAGCAAGTCTTCTCGAGTCAAAAGGCGCAAGTCCAAGTGAAGTCACGAGTCATTGATGTTAAAGTCCAAGTCGAGTTGCAAGTGTTTGTACATTTTGTCGAGTCGAGTCTGAAGTCATCAAATTCATGACTCGAGTCTGACTCGAGTCCAAGTCACATGACTCGAGTCCACACCTCTGCCATTTGGTGCCATTATTTTTCTTACCAAGTTACTCATGGCCTCTAGTTTCTGTGTGTCAAATTAGAAAATATGTTACCAATCTATTCTTGAGTTATTTGACCATGTCAACCAAAAAAACAACTAAGAGAATAACAATAAGTTATAATAATTGGACAATAAACAAATACATATCACATTTACCACGGAAGCGTTCAATGAAGTTGCAGCACAGTGGTGAGAACATATAAGCTTGACACAGAAAACAGTGGTTATAACCACCACATGACACAGGAAACAGTTATAACCACCATAATACAGTAGGATCCATACATAATGTCAAAAACATTAAGGTTAGTTAGGCTTAAATCCTATTGATCTAATCCTCAAGGAAAAGGATATGGGTAGTTAGTTGGGATATCAGTGTTGCTGCTGTGTGTCTTCAAAGCCACAAAGGGCCTATGCGCTTAGACAACATTACCATTGATTAACGTCGGCAGAGGGCAAGTAGAGCATCTTGGTATAAATGGTACCCTAAAATAAGGATTTGGCATCAGCACAATGAAAGAAAAGTCACAAAGGAATACCACAGATAAGAGCACAACATATAATACAGATCATATGGATATCACCATTGCATAGAAATAAAAATAAAAAAAAGACATAAAAAGTTGAAGTAAAAAAACAAGTGCACAGAGACTTTCAATGGAACATGTTGGTAGGAACACAACATACACAAAGGTAAACCTCCAGTCAGGGCACATTAAAGGGACGGACAGGAAGAGGGGGCACATTATATTACAGAGTAATAGTTATGGCACAGCTGGATCAGGTTAAGTTAGTACAGAGACCTTATTTTTTTTGTTTTTGTTTTACCCCATATGTAACTCTGTGTTGTTGTTTTTATCGCACTGCTTTGCTTTATCTTGGCCAGGTCGCAGTTGTAAACTCCAAATGGCACCCTAATCCCTACATAGTGCACTACCTTTGACCAGGGCCTATAGGGAACAGGTTGCCATTGAGTTGATATGACATGCTTACTAATACATGCTTACTGGAATGTGGTAGTTCAAAAGTGCTGTTGATATTTCATATTTCTACACTATGAATTCAATTCATTGGAAACTGTTGTCAATCATAAAGAGTATACTACTTTTGGTAGGTAGAAATATATTAGTTACATCTATTTATATTTACACTTTGTTTAACAAAATACTATGGTGCATTTTTCACAATCCTGTAATATTTCTTTCAACAATTTCATTACCCCATATCTTTTCTCTTATTTGAATACAACAAAGAATGAAACTTTGTTACAAATGTGTACTTCTTTTCTCTAGTAGAACTAACTACTTCTCTATGATAAAAACACTTGATGTGAAAAACTGATTCAGAGTAGGGAATACAAAGACAAACATGTATCAGACGGTGGTGTGTGTGTATTCAGACGGTGGTGTGTAGGGGCGTGCCCCCGCTGTGTGAGGGTGATGATGTGTGTTCTGATGAAGAGGAAAGAGAGCCGTGTGATGAAGATGCTTCTCTCTGTAGCTCCTCAACCTTCCTCTGTAACTCAGCTTTCAGGAACAATAACTCCTTCAGGTTCTGGTGCACTGGCATCTGATGGGGAGAGATACATAGTTAGAAAGATGTACACACACATACAATGCATTTGGAAAGTATTCAGACCACTTCACTTTTTCCACATTTCGTTACGTTACACCCTTATTCTAAAATGGTTAAATAGTTTTTCCCCCCCTCATCAATCTACACACAAGACCCCATAATGACAAAGCAAAAACAGGTTTTTAGACATTTTTGCTAATTTATTAAAACATCAAAAACTGAAATATTACATTTACATAAATATTCAGACCCTTTACTCAGTACTGTACAAGCGGGCTGTCGTGCCTTTTATGGTAGTGGCCAGACGGAAGCCACTCCTCAGTAAAAGGCACAACAGCCCGCTTGGAGTTTGCCAAAAGGCACCTAAAGGACTCTTAGACCATGAGAAACAAGATTGAACTCTTTGGCCTGAATGCCAAGCGTCACGTCTGGAGGAAACCAGGCACCGCTCATCACCTGGCCAATACCATCCCTACGGTGACGCATGGTGGTGGCAGCATCATGCTGTGGAGATGTTTTTCAGCGGCAGGGACTGGGAGGCTTCCGTCTGGCCACTACCATAAAAGGCCTGATTGGTGGAGTGCTGCAGAGATGGTTGTCCTTCTCCCATATCCAAAGAGGAACTCTGGACCTCTGTCAGAGTGACCATCAGCTTCTTGGTCACCATGTTCTTGGGGATCTTCAATGTTGCAGACATTTTTTGGTACCCTTTCCCAGATCTGTGCCTCGACACAATCCTGTTTGGGAGCTCTTCGGACAATTCCTTCGACCTCATGGCTTGGTTTTTGCTCTGACATGCACTGTCAACTGTGGGACCTTCTATAGACAGGCGTGTGCCTTTCCAAATCATGTCCAATCAATTGAATTTACCACAGGTGGGACTCCAATCAAGTTATAGAAACATCAAGGATGATCAATGGAAACAGGATGCACCTGAGCTCAATTTCGAGTCTCATAGCAAAGGGTCTGAATACTTATGTAAATAAGGTATCTGTTTTTTATTTTTAATAAATTTGCAAACATTTCTAAAAACCGGTTTTCGCTTTGTCATTATGGGGTATTGTGTGTAGATTGAGGAGAAAAAACAATTTAATACATTTTAGAATAAGGCTGTAACGTAACAAAATGTGGAAAAAGTGAAGGGGTCTGAATACCTTCCGAATGCACTATATGCACACACGAGTGTGCGCAGATCAAGCCGTAAACTAACACACACACACAGGCCATTTCCGAAATACCACTACTTGCGTTCTAAATAGTACTGTATGTGAAAGTTCTAAAAATTAAGTATGCTTTAAATGCCAGGAAGTCATACTCATTTCGGCTTTTCATCTAGCTGCACACTATTGAGGAAGATAATTGTCTTTCAAGACGTGTGTTTGACAACAGCTGATAATCAGCTGAGGGGACGCTCTATACCAAAATGAACGAATGGATGGAATCAACACTAATTGAGCATTAGATGACGCAGTAGGATGAGCCTAGTATGCTGATATTTGTTGCTTACTGCATTCATTTTGACTTAATGTCAGTTAACTCAGAAGTAAAATCTTGCATATTTTGGTCAGCTGCGTGGTTAACTTTTGGGTCTATATGTGCTAGATATTGAGAGTTTCAGCAGTTTGCAAAGTCCCCACCCTTGCAAAAGAAAACTCTCAGCCAAAGCCTTCCCCTTCCGATCACTCTTGGCACACGTACAAAGCACTCGAAGCGAAGGTTTAAGCACCGCCTTCGCCCAATCCTTATACGTCCATATAACCAGTGACAAAAACCCAAAGACCGGAGGTACTGCAGCTCATATCTCACGGATCCCATTCATTCCCGGCAGATACTTCGGTCTACACGCAGAATCTGACCAAGGGAGATTAGTTTTTCTAAACAGTAAGTTCTAAATAGTATGTAGTACGATTAGTACATAGTAAGCAGTTTATGTAAGTAGTAGGCAAGCCAGATTTCGGACTCCCCACCCCCCCACACACTTTTTATTTATTTCCTTCCTTCCTTCTCTCTTCAACAAGCACACTACCACCCCCACCTGTGGCCTCATACGGGGGTTCCATCGTACGTAATACCCGGTCCACAGCTCCAGGTGTCTAACACTAGCCAGAGGATACAGGACGTGGTGCTTATAGTCTACATAGAATGGGTTGGTGAAGTCCTCTGGCTGACTGTTGATATAGGACCATAAAGAGACTGTCTTAGTCTGGACTTCCTGTGAAGAAGAAGAAGAAGGAGAGAGAGAGATGGGCATGAGTCAATCAACATTCTATAGATAGCTTTACCATAAGAGACCAGTTGAGAACTGTAACTCTCAGTCTCCCACCCCCGCCGGTGAAGAAATTATACTTACATTGGCGACTCTCTCCTGTTCGCTGTCGTAGAGGAACGTACCAAAGAGACAGCTGTAGAGGTGGTCCAGAATGGTGATTAGGAACAACTCATTGAACTCAAACGCTGCAGGGAACTTAGAAGAAATAAAGAGACAGAAAGACAGATTGAGTATAACTACACAATTATTACACGATTACCTGTATGTGTGTGTAGCAGGGAAATCTCACCAGATGTGTGTCTACATGCATGTACTGCGTGTGTGCGTCTGTCTGTCTGTGCGTGCGTCTCTATGTGTGTGTGTGTGTAACACTCACCTGTCGGGTCATCTGCCAGACACAGTCTATAAATTGGATGAAGAGAGGTGATCTCTCCGAGTTGGCATGGTTCTCATCCCCATGACCCACACGCTGAGAAACATACCCACAGGTTATTAAACACATGCACGCACAAAGATCCCCTCACACACCTTTAAGAAAACACACAAGAAACCATGCAGACACACACGCACACTCCTCTCACCGCGGCGAACTTGTGTCCGAAGCTGATCCACTCCTTCTCCAGCAGTACCTGAGAAGACACACCTCTTATACTTTATTTATACAATTGACGACAGAGACAAAGGTTTCCCTTCCTCACACACCACAGTCTGCTATCCCACTCTCTTCCTCTGCTATCCCACTCTCTTCCTCTCCCCTTCCCCCCTTCCTTCCTCCCGCCATCCCTCCTACTCACCTGGAAGCCCCTGAGGGTGCGGTAGTGGCTGTCCAGCATCAGCATGGCCAGAGAGGTGAGCTGGGCCGTCCGGTCCCACCCATCACTACAGTGGACCACCACAGAGGTTTTACCAGACTCCAGCTTGTCAGCTATACGCACCGCACCCGCTAAGAGGACCTAGAGGGGAGAGGATATGTAAGGACTTGTGAAAATGTGTTGTGTGTGTATCCGTCTCTCTCCCTCACTTACTTGAGCCAGTGTGTGTGTGTGTATGCGTGTGTATATGCGCGTGAGCAAAAGAGAGAGAGAGAAAGAGTCCTCACCCGTATGTACTCTAGCCAGTGTGTCTGGTCGACTGCAGAGTGCCAGTGAGCCTCATCTATAGTAGGGTAGACCACTTCTTTTAGTTTCCTCAGTGACTCTCTCATCACGTGGATGTTGGGGATCTCCAGGAAGTTGAGTTCTACGTTGGGATAGAAACTCTCACTCTCATAACCACCATCCTTAGCCTGGGAGAGAGGGAGGGAGAGAGGGAGGGAGAGAGAGAGGGAGAGAGGGAGGGGAGGGAGAGAGGGAGAGAGGGAGAGAGGGAGAGAGAGAGGGAGGGAGGGGGATGGAAAGGAAATGAGTAGAGTGGCAAAAGAGGAACAGAAGGGAAAAAAATAAGGGAGTAAAGAAAAGTGAGAAGAGAAAAAATTAAAATGAAAAAGGGAGAGGATAGGAGACAGAAGAGAGGAATGCAGCAGAAAGAGAGGAAGAGATGGAAACAGGCATTCAGTTATAAATAACCCTTGGAGAGCTGGTGGTGTGACATGGAGTAACCTCAAACAGGCAGACACAACTTACAGGACATTCACAAAAATGCTCAAATACTGTACATACCAGACGTTTACCATACCATCAATTTACTGTCACCATAAAACACATAGTGATATAGATGTAGAGAACATAGCTGAGATTCTAGTCAAACTTAGCTTGAACACCAATGCTTCCATCACGGTCTCCAGTTGACTACAACTGTCTTAAATGGTAAGAAACTGTAATAGATCACCTTGTTGTTGTCTGCCACGCTGCTCTGTCGGGCGTCGAAGATGGTGAGTTTGTGAGACTGAGCGTTGGCATCCATGATGGTCTGGAGGTACCGCTCGTCCTCCTTACAGCGCCGGTCAGACGGGCCCACTAAAGGCTGACTGCTACGGACTATAGTGGCCTGGCTCTCCGGGTGGATCCATGACAATACCTAGAGAAGAGGAAGGCGAGAGAGAGAACGCGCAAGAGGAAGAGAGAGAAAGGAAGGAGAGAGTTAGCTGGCTGCTAAGGACTATAGTGGCCTGGCTCTCTCAGTGGATTTATGGTAACACATAGTGGGGTACAAGGTCACTTTCGTCATAATTTTGAAGAAACTTTCCAGGTAACTCTCAAATTTAGCACATTTTAACATGTACACAGTATTCACAAAACTAGCACCAACAGGTAAAACACACACATCTCTTTTTTTTTTTTATATACCACCCCCACACACACTCATCCCCAGACATACCGGTATGCGGTGCCTGGCCCTGAAGGCCACAACTCGTTTGAGGTCGTCGTCCTTGATGCTAGTGGGGATGACCAGCAGGGCAGGGTAGGTGTCACACACCTCATAACTACTGTTAATCTTACTGATGGTCCAACTCTCGTTGGGAAGACGCTGGCGTGGGGAGAGCAGGAATATAAGAACTGCTAAATGTAGTGAAGAACAGTTCCTTTATCAGTTCTTATAACACAGCATTGTTTAATACTATTTTCTGATTGGCAAGAAGGGCATTTGAAAATAGGCATTAAAAACAGATATACAGGACAGTTGGATGTCTCTAAGACAGATACACTGCACACGCAGACCATACTTGCTACAAAGTTACAGAAAGCTAAACCAACAACCATACAAACTGATATTGGATACATTGTAAATGCAGGTCCAATGAGGAAAAACGTAGTTAGCTAGCTAGCATTCATTTGTTTTTGCAGAGACATCTGATGACCTAACGTGGCGAGTGATGGGATGAACATGAATTTCTCCGGTCCTTCAATGTTGCAGTCATGACGCAAGAGCCGCTATGCTGTCAAATCCTCCCACATATTTGTAGTTTGACTAGCGGTTTTCAGCAAATTATATTGTTGAATTCGGTTGTCATATTGGCATATTTCCTAGCAACAAGCTATTTAGCTAGCTTCTAGCCTAGTGTTTGATATGCAAATGATATCCTCGTAATGAACAGTATCCTAACGAGAAGGCAAACTTTTCTATGCCAGGAAAAATTGTGCATCATCATGTATCCAACTCAATGCCACTAGAAAACAGCTTAAACAAACACAAATACAGCTACTTTGCTGTTATTCTGGCTGCAGAGGTTGACGTGACTGTATTAGCCGTAGCTAGCAAGCAAGGGATAAGAACGTTGCCAGACAGCATGGCAACTGAATAAAAAGAATGAATGGGTCGCGTCCCTGGAGATAGAACTAACAACCAGATTTAGTGGGAAAATGAGAAAATATGGATTCACATATCAAAATGAAAATATAATTGAAAACATGTTATTTCTTCCGGTAAATGTGTGCTTTAGTCGTCCATTACTTCCAAGGTAATGTACAGAACGTCTGCGTTTATCCCTTACATATAAGTTAGTCTTACATTAAACATTTCAAGGGACTTCAAGACTCAAAGCAAATCAATCAAGAGATTTCTCCTAATTACTAAGACTGGATTTCTCCAATTACACTGAAATTCCTGGTTTTCTAATGTTGGAAAATCAGGAATATTATTTCTTATGTCATCTCTTCCCTTAGCTAATATCAGCCATGGTTACCTGTCTCTTGTACTCAGATATAGGATCATACACCTTCCATCCATCCACAGGAAACTCCTCCTTATACAGGAAGGCAAACAGGGGCTGCAAAGGGATAGGCCAGGGAGAGTAAGTGACAGGTCTCAACAAATCAACAAGCAAGGATTTTAACTAAGATCTCAATCCATATTGAGTTACATGCCAGCACCTATCAGAATGTTAGGATCCTTAACTCCCGCCCTGTATTGGTTGATTGACAGGTCTTACCAGGTCATTTGATAGGGGGAAGGTGTGTTTGGTTAGAACCTCCACTATTTCTGGTTGGCTGGCGTCCTTCTTATAGGCAAACCTTGGACTACGCATGTCCTGATGGAGGGAGGGAGGGAGAGAGAGGAAGGGGAGAGAGAGAGAAAGGGAGCGAGAGATAGGAAGAGAGAGAGTTTTTATAAGTAAAAGCTATGAATACAAATGAAATCAGATCTTCCAACAATCCTTCCTTCAACTCGTACAAAATTCGTAAAGCTGTGGGTAAGCACATGCATTTTAACAGAGAACACTACATTTGTGTAACTCCTGGGTTGTATTCTCTCTTACCTTACAGACTATCTCCATGCCCTGTGTGTTATCTTCATGACTCTGGACACTGATGGTCTCTAGGCGACTGATCGCGCCCAGGTTCACATCCAGGATGAACGGAGTATCCTGGGAAAAGAATGGGACGGGGACAGGATGGGGAAGTTTACATATAAAAGTTTTCAATAAAGAGTTGGGTGAACAAACAAGGGTCAAGCTTGAGTCAAACTTGAGTGTGCATGTGGGTACTCTTACCCTCTCTAGGCTGATAAAGTATAGTTTATAGTCGGTGCTGGTGAGGGTTCCTGTCACTAAGCCAGTGAAGGGACATATGTACATCACATCCTTGGCTGATGGGACAAACAACAACAACAAAAAACAAACAGAAACATATCAACAACTAGAGCTCCTCTCATACTAGGCTGAAGACAAGAGAGAGGAAAACAGAAAGGTAGAGAAAAATGGGAAAAGAAGTCCAAATGCAGAAAAAAAGATCTAGAGGGAGAGAGGGAGAGGCATAGTGAAAAGTAGCTGGATTCGAGAGAGAGAGAGAATGTGAGAGAGCGTGAGAGAGAGACAGAGAAGACAGAGACACAGTATTGATGCCCACCCACAGCCTTGATGGTCTCTCCCGGAACCAGTGGAACCTCATCCATCTGGACCTGCTTGGTTCCGTCTCTGAGAGCCTAGAACATAGAACCACAACACGGAACTGTCAGAACCATCTCAGAGATCTAGAACTCTTTCAAACAGAACCTCTGGTTCTAAGCGGAACCATTTGTCACTGCCTGAGCTATAGCTACACAGGGGGAAAGCCAAAGAGAGCGGGAGGCAGAAGGAGAATGAAACGAAGGGAGCAGGTGGAAGAGAAGGAATGGAGAGAGAGGGGGGGGGGGGGGGGAGATAGAAGAGAGAGCGAAAGCGACAGTGGAATAGAGAAGGGGAAAGAGGCAGCAGTAGAGGAGGAACAGAGAAGGCAGAAGGGGCAGGAGAGAGGGATGGAGGGAGGGAGGGACAGAGAGCGAAACTTGCCAAAGCGTGGGGGGGAAGCTCAGAGTCACTATCGTCTTGGTAACAATGTTCCCTTTCCATAAAGTCCTGGACCAAGGGGGGAGGCAAGGCAAGCGTGGAAGCAGAGAGAAAGAGAGTGAAGGAAAGGTAATTATCTTACAGTTGCAAGTTATCGTGAGAGAACAAGAGAGAGAATGAGGAAAGAGAAAATGAGAGAGAGAACGTGAGAGAAAGAAAGAAAGAAAGAAAGAAAGAAAGAATGCAGAAGAGTTGATAAAAGGGTCTTTGAGGTCTAAAAGGTCACAGAGACCGGATGTGAGCATTAAGTGGGTGAAGCTCTGTGGTGAAATTAGAAAAGTTAGAATCAGTAGAGCTCTAACAGGAAGTGAAGAAGGGTGCAAAGCTGCATAACGTTACAGAGAGGCTACAGCAGGGGTTCAAACGTTTTTGGTCCGCGACCCCACTATGGAAAAAAAGTGATGTAATCAACGGCCAGTGTTTATTTTTTTACAAAATTGGGGCTATGACAGTCTATTACAAATCAGTCTGACAGTACTTTTGACAGTATTTCAATATGAAGGAAGTTTGAAATGACTGAAATGCATCAGAAAGGTATTGGGAAATTCATAAAAAGTTAGACTGATGATCTTCTGAACTTCTGTGTATAAAATAACATCATCATTAGCCTGGTTTCCACCCAATTGGCGACAGATTTTAATGCGAATATTCTAAAATCAGCATAAAACAATAAAACAATTTTCCCACCAGAGAGGTGTTTCCATCAAACTGATGAAACATCTAAATGTAGTGATAAAAAGCCTGTGCGTGATGACGTAGTGCACATAAAAATACCTTAGGCAGTTAAATTCCAATGTACCGAATATATATATATATATATATTTTTAATGGGTTTCCATCACATTCTCAATTCTACTGATGGTTTTGTTACACAAATTGCTGCGTTATATAGCGAGTGTGTCCACTCTGGTCTTGTCACGTGCAATCTAGCCAATTGCTCGCAGATACAGTGCAGGTAAAGCCTACTACATGATGAGATTATTATGGACAAAAGAGCGAGATTATTTTGATTTGTTAAACGGCAGTCAAGCATCGATCATCATATCACCAGAATAAAACCCTCTCTATTTATTGGAAAGGATCATCAAGCTCATCACTGTGCACTTTCACCACCCTGTGCAGTTCATCATCCTGTAATTTATTTAATCTGCAGCCTAATAAACTGCATGCTTTCACGAGTCGTAGTGGGAGGACCACACAACACATTATCGTGTGACTCCAAGTTCACTTCGATATGATGGTTATTACATCAATATTTGCGCATAAAGGCGATTCCACACATAATGCATTTTACCGACACAAAAAGATTTTGTTGACATTTGGAAAGTTAAGACAAATTTGCTGTTTCCTTCAGGCCTGTCGTGACATGTTTTATCCGACATGTACTTTACTCTAATAAAAAGGTTGGATGGAAACCTGGTTAGTGATTCTGTTATTTTCCCCCAGTCTGATTCAGTGCCTGATTTTGTCCACCCTGTTCTAATGAGTCCTGCACGGCTTGTGGGCATTGTAGTTGGAAACAGACAAATACGTGTTCCTGAGAGTCTTATCTTCCAGTAATGGGGTCATAATAGTTTGTAGCTTCAAAAGATAGAGCCACATTTGTAGGAACCGCATCTAGCGGCTACCAGAGGCTACTGACGTAACCTGGGTTCTATGAACCAAGCACAATTATAAAAATAAATACAATATTTCGGAGTTTCTCTCGCGACCCCATTTTCAAATCAGGCGAGCCCACATGGGGTCGCGACCCCTGGTTTGGGAAACGCTGGCCTTGAAGGCTGTAGACAGCAGCATCTTTAGCTTTGAAAGTAATAGATACACGTACAAACAGTAGAAATAGCATGGCAGCTCCTACAAACTACCACACAGCCCACAAAGAATGAGCTGACAACCATAAAAATAGAACATCACAAATAAACGATATGTAGGTAATCACAAAGAAACAAATTGCACTGTACTCTACACACTCTTTGACAGGTTGTCAAGTACTAAGATAGCCTATGAATGTTAAAAAGGCTGTTGGGTGGAATCCACCAGTCTTTAAATCTTACCCTGAGAACAGGCCTCTTGGACACCTGTGGGTTACAGATAACCACACACACACACTGGGTTACTACACACACACACACTCTCCGGGTTAACACTCAAACACACACAGAGCTAAAGGAAATGCCTAGAAGCCCCCTGAACAGTGGTGTATCACCAGAAGGTAAAGCTGCAACAGACGGTTAGTGAAGCATTGACAAGCTGAATACAAAAGCTAGAACATCAATTCAGAAAAATACTAAAATTATGCTTTCTGAAGGGTGCAGAGAGAGAGACAGACAAAAGATTGACTGTAGCCTTTGCAAGAAGAATGACAATGCATGACTGAGTCAGTTGCTGTAGAAAAGACTCAGCATAGGAAGACTACCTAAATCACTCTCTACACAGGGTACATGGAGCATGTAAGCACACCCACAGGCAACACTGCTGCGGCTATGGTTAACCTTACCCTTGGGAGATCTGTCCTTCTCCCAACCTGTCAGTCAGAAAACACAGGTTATGATGTGTGTGTCTAAACCTCTTATTGTGTGTGCATGTGTTTTTTTTTTTTTTTTTGTCATTTAGCAGACGCTCTTATCCAGAGCGACTTACAGGAGCAATTAGGGTTAAGTGCCTTGCTCAAGGGCACATCGACAGATTTTTCACCTAGTCGGCTCGGGGATTAGAACCAGCGACCTTTCGGTTACTGGCACAACGCTCTTAACCACTAAGCTACCTGCCGCCCTTATGTGTTGTCATAAGCCTGCTATTACAAACAGCAAATGTGTGTGTGTGTGTGTGTGTGTGTGTGCATCAGTGCTTCTGCGTGCGACCGTGTCAGTGCTTGTGCGTGCGACCATGTGTGTGTGTGTGTGACCAACCACGTGTGTTTCCCCCACCTTGCAGTCTCTGGATGCAGTGTCTGGGGTTATGGATGATATCTGGCTGGAGATGGTGGCTGCTATCAGCTGCTTACACCACTCTACATGAGAACCTGTAGGACTGGACGAGGGATGGAGGGAGGAGGGAGAGGGGGGTGGTTGTGGGGAGGGTGAGAGAAAGGGGAGAGAGAGAGACAGACGAAGGTATATGGGGGATATACAGAAAGAGAGAGGGAGAGAGAGACAAACAGATGAAGGTATATGGGGATATACAGAAAGAGAGAGTTCAAAGGAGAGAGGGACCAGGGGACACAGATAAAAACAGAGAGACAGACAGAGGGGGACAGAGGGTTCAATAGTGGGTTCAAGGGAGGGAGAAAGAGAGCAATGTTTACGAGATACCATAGAGCAAGACAGTCAGTCACGCACAGTAGTAGGCTACATCACAATAAAAAAGCCTATGTCTGCAACATCTGGGCTAAAATAGGTTGCGGTTAGGCTGATTCCTGCTGTGAAAAGCCACTGCTTTATAACAGGGGCGTGTTCACTTGGCACAGATTAGTGATGGGCATTCCGAGTCTTTTCGGTGAGCCGGCACATTTGGCTCCGTTCAGGTAAAAGAGCCGGTCATTTGGCTCCCAAACGGCTCTTTATTTAAAAAGCTTAAAAAACGACCTAGAACCATGAAAAATGTTTACTAATCTCCAAAGTAAAGCCCAAAAGTCTAACATTATGTCAGGTCGTGAAATGCGCATGCAAATACATTTTTACCTGGCCAAATATGGAATATTACGTTTTTAAAATGCATTGCAAAAATGAGCGTGGACCAGATTGACGCGCTCTCACCACTATTTATTGTTTATGCAGTGAGGATTCACCCTCAATATTTCGTAACTTATGTGTAGAAAAACGTTTTGAGCTCAAAAACCAATAGTAGGAGTATGCAAATCAGGGAGCTAAATGAACGACTCTTTCACCGATGAGATTCGGTTCCCAACGTTCACCAAAATGATCCGTTCAAAAAGAGCGGTTCGCGAACGACCCATCACTTGCACAGATCCCTACGCCCATCTGGCGCTCTCATTGCCGAATACCGAAATACACAAGAGACACAGTAGCTTACTATGAATTGACTGCTTGTATAGCCTACATGTTACAGCACAATGCAACCCTTTGAAGTTCAAACGTTAAACTCGTTGAAAATAATTCTAACAACAACATATGTCAAACAAGTCCCTAAATGCATGCAGGCAGGCTATTGCCTAGGAACGAGCAAGTCACTTTTCTACAACGATAGGCCTATACACGACACCGCCCAAGAGCCAATACACAAACATCATAACTAACGCTGTAGTAACATTCTAAACGTTTTGTAAAAACATGACAAGCAAGTGTCTAACAACTGCAGCCTACGGAAGCGAAATTCGCGCTTCCATTCCTACTGTCCAGTGCAAAATCGTCATCATAACAGTGTAGCTAGTCACATTGTAACAGTTTGTAGCGAGAGCAGGAAACGCTATATATTCACCTGTCCAATGTCTCCACGCTAGTCTGTCTCGATCCAGAGTTGGCCAGCGTTCGAGGCTTGTTGTTTCGATTCGGTACTCCCGGCTGCACAGGGCTATCTCCACCGCCAACAGACTGCTTTTCCATTTTAGTCTCCACTCAACCCCGTTTCCTTCCCGTTAGATGATGAATCAAATATGCGTCGTTTCTGAATGTCGACAGATCTGTGTCGCCGCAACGTGTTTAAGAATCGACGATGTTTTTATACCGATAAGAGACGGACTCTTCCGCTCGCTAGCTCACAGCACGAGAGACAATACGGATGTTCGCTAGCTTCCGAGTCTCATTCTGTAACTGAAAGAGCGCCTGTGTGTTTATTTAACAGACTTGAGGAAGCAGTCAGTGAGCTCAACCCTGAGTAGGACAGCACACACCTTGCCCAGGCGAACCACTAAGAGTACCCAAAATGCTCACATCCTTACTAACCAGCCTCAGCAACAAATAGACTGAGGATAAAATGTAGGCCTGCTTCCAATAAATTACGGTTATTACATTGTTAGTGTTCCTGCAAATGTACGTCACAAGAGGCCTACTGACTTAGGGCAAATGGCATCAACCAGCCTCATCAGCAACAGAAGCCTAGAACAATTTTTTTTTAAAGGGTGTAGGGATTTTATACTAAGCCTGGAAAATAAATAGCCTAGCACTATTGACTGGCAAGGATATTGAATGTATTGATCACATGAAAGGTCACTGGGTCATTCCACGAAATCGGTCCCCTTTGGGTAGTGTAACTTAGTGAAAAAAAAGTTTATTTCACATAATTTAACATTCGGTCATATAGAGCAGATGCTCAACTTAATAAAAACCAAATTTTCCCATCTCAAGAGGTTAAATAAAAAATTACTATATTAAATGTCTATTAAGTGCCAAATAAACTAAAAGGGTTGACGATTTCATCTTAAATCAGCCAAAAAAAGACTTGTGACAGGAGAAATTGAAGTTTTCTACCACAAAACACATGGAATTTGCCAAAAAGAGTAGAACCAGCTCACCTGCTTTTACACTATGATTTTACTATTATATGTTCAATGTTTCTTTTGTAAAAAAAAATTGTACAAATTAATAGTTTCACCATATTAAAATGAGAGTTCAGTTCACATTACAGGGTTGACCTTAAAATGAGGGACATTGTTTTATTTTATTTTTTTACCTTAAAATGAATCACATGAAATACATAATCTCCAGAAATTACTTTGTCAAAACAACAAAATAACTAGGGCTTTACAATGATGGTGAAAAGTGAGTTCAAATCTTCCTAGAAGTCACAGAGGGTGCACAGAGGGACATGCCAAAATGCTGGATTTAGGCACTTTACCAAGTCTTTATTCATATAAAAAATCAGATTTATTTAATTTTACAAGTGGTCGATACTAAAGAGCACATCATTTAATATAACTGGCTTTTATACATATTTCTACTTAAAATATCAAAGGGATGCAAAAGACCTCATTTCGTGGAACAACCCCACTAATGGAATAGGACTAGTGAACATTCAGTAGTCTGAATGTCATTCTTAGTAGGAATCGATTCCAGGGAGCTAGAGTAGGTCCCATTTAAATGCAGCTATAATGTCCCTACGGAGACATGAACTGGTGCTTCTCTTATATTTAGGGCTGAGATATGCTGTGTTGGGACAAGGTCTGAATATCCACAATCTTCTCCGATCCACAATTTCCACATCAGCAGACATCACATAAGAGATTTTGCTCATTTCCATATGATCTCCTGAATAAATAAAGGATACATTACCACAAGAATTTGAATGAAAGAATCAATCAAAAAATAAATAAAGTGAGAAATCTTTAAATTAATTTAATCAGCATTATTTACACAAGAGCCGGTCAAAACAACCAACAGTGGAGCACTCATACATGAGAGGGAGTAGTACAGCCCAGATCCCACATCGGTTTGTGTTGTCTTGCCAAAACTCCCATGTAGTCTGGGTGTAAGTATGTTTCTGCTTGTCATGGCATGAACAGACTGGTAAGTAAGCCTTGTCTGAGCCAGAACGTCCCATAGGGCACGAGCCAATCTCCTTTTCAGTAGGGTGAGGCAGGTGGTTGTAAAAGTACACACCCTGGACAGAACGACCCCTGAAACAGACTGGCACTCAAGCTAACTCCTATGGTCATGAGTCATGACTCACAAGGAGTTTGCAAGACAGAACAAACTGATCTGGAACCAGGCTAGGGAGTCGTAAGTAGGCATTAATATGACAAAGAAAACCCCCTTTAGACTAAATATTACCTACGTTAAGGTATAATAAATGAAGAAAATAAACAAATCACTAGAGCGACAGTTTGTCTATGTCCCAAATGGCAAGGGCACTACTTTTGTAATGCACTACTAGGGTCCCATTTGGGACATGACCTTTATCAGAGTGCTCAATTCCTCTAGGTCTGGCATTCAATCAAACTCAAGTATGGGAATTTTTACGGCAGTGCCTTTGTTTACAAACTACTGTCCATGCATAGACTTCTTATTATGGAAAACGAAAGCATCCACTTGTCAGAGGAGTCTACTTAAAAATAATATAAAAAAATAATAATATGCCTTTTAGCAGACGCTTTTATCCAAAGTGACTTACAGTCATGCGTGCATTCATTTTCATGTATAGGTGGTCCCGGGGATCGAACCCACTACCCTGGCGTTGCAAGCGCCATGCTCTACCAATTGAGGACCACACTACTTGGTAGTAGTAGTAGGTTTTTACAGTGCCCATAACCATTCTAGCATTTCATTTGACCATGGGGGAAAAATAGCTACTCCTTAAACACCGAAATTCGAGTTTGATTGAATCACGCACCAAGTTTCACAAATCACAGGTGAAGAACCAAAAGGAACTGAATCAATTCCCAACTGAATCAAATCTCCCATGAATCATGATTCAAACATGATTCACTGTCCTCTCTTCTATGTTAGAAAGCAAAAATGCCCGTAAGGTAAAAAACAAACAAACTAAAGAAAACACCATTTATGGAACAAGAAATCCACAAATTATTAACCAACCATTCAAAGAAACAAAAAAGACATGTCTCATTACTTTCCTTTTTATAAAACGTGTCAAATTTTACACTAAATAAAATAATTATATTTTACAACAATATAACTTTTCTACAGTAAAATAGGTTTGTTTGAGGTAATTATACTGAACACAAATATAAAAGCAACATGTAAAGTGTTGGTCCCATGTTTCATGAGCTGAAGTAAAAGATCCCAGAAATTTTCCCTACGCACAAAAAGCATATTTCTCTCAAATTTTGTGCACACATTTGTTTACATCCCTGTTAGTGAGCATTTCTCCTTAGCCAAGATAATCCATCCACCTGACAGGTGTGGCATATCAAGAAGCTGATTAAACAGCATGATCATTACACAGGTGCACCTTGTGCTGGAGACAATAAAAGGCCACTCTAAAATGTGCAGTTTTGTCACACAACACAATGCCGCAGATGTCTCAAGTTTTGAGGGAGTGTGCAATTGGCATGCTGACTGCAGGAATGTCCACCAGAGCTGTTGCCAGAGAACTGAATGTTAATTTCTCTACCATAAACGTTGTTTAAGAGAATTTGGCAGTACGTCCAACCGGCCTCACAACCGCAGACCATGTGTAACCACGCCAGTCCAGGACCTCCACATCGGGCTTCTTCACCTGCTGGAATGTCTCAGACCAGCCACCCGGATAGGTGATGAAATTGTGGGTTTGCACAACCAAAGAACTTCTGCACAAACTGTCAGAAACCGTCTCAGGGAAGCTCATCTGCATGCTCGTCGTCCTCACCAGGGTCTTGACCTTACTGCAGTTCGGTGTCATAACCGACTTCAGTGGGGTAATGATCACCTTCGATGGCCATTGGCACACTGGAGAAGTGTGCTCTTCACGTATGAATCCCGGTTTCAACTGTACCGGGCAGATGGCAGACAGCGTGCATGGTGTCATGTGGGCGAGCGGTTTGCTGATGTCAACGTTGTGAACAGAGTGCCCCATGGTGGCGGTGGGGTTATGGTATGGACAGGCATAAGCTACAGACAACAAACACAATTTATTTTTATCGATGGTAATTTGAATGCACAGAGATATCGTTACAAGATCCTGAGGCCCATTGTCGTGCCATTCATCTGCCGCCATTACCTCATGTTTTAGCATGATAATGCATGGCCCCATGTCGCAAGGATCTGTACACAATTCCTGGAAGCTGAAAATGTCCAAGTTCTTCCATGACCTGCATACTCACCAGCCATGTCACCCATTGACCATGTTTGGGATGCTCTGGATCGACGTGTACGACAGCGTGTACCAGTTCCCGCCAATAATGTCGCACAGCCATTGAAGAGGAGTGGGACAACATTCCATAGGCCACAATCAACAGCCTGATCAACTCGATGCGAAGGAGATGTGTCTCGCTGCATGAGGCAAATGGTGGTCACACCAGATACTGACTGGTTTTCTGATCCATGCCCCTACCTTTTTTTAAAGGTATCTGTGACCAACAGATGCATATCTGTATTCCCAGTCATGTGAAATCAATAGATTAGGCTCTAATGAATTTATTTCAATTGACTGATTTCCTTATATGAACTATAACTCAGTAAAATCTTTGAAATTGTTGCATGTTGCGTTTATATTTTTGTTCAGTGTACATCATAGTTACTGTACTTGTACAAAGTAAAAAATAAAAATAGATTTTTGTCTTTTACAAAGTCTTCTGCGTTGTGGTTATTCTTTTTCCGTGCAGTCTCGTTTTTAGCTTTTTCTCCCTTATTGAGGCCAAAGTCTTCCAAAGTGATGCATTCTGGTGTGGCATTAGGGAGTGAAAAGGGAGCCGCTAGTGCCCTCATTCTTTCCCCACCATCTTTCAACATGGGGTGACCGGCTACAAGCCTTCAAAGTCATATCTATTCATTCTCTTGCATGGTGTTGCCATATCCAGTATGGCGACCGTTTTAAAACAAGAGAACCCCACCCGAAGGGTCTTCACTAGAAGGAACCCACATCAACCAATCAAGAGTTTCCTTTCCCCATCACAACCAATCCGGTTCATTCTCCCCCCTGACGACCAATCAGTATTTTACTTTCCCACACCACAACAAATCTGGTGCTTCCTTTTTCCTGCCACAACCAATCGGGTGCTTTCTTTCCCTTTCTCCCCGCCACAGAGGAACGATGACAAAGACAAAGTTTATAGTTTGGGCAGAGAGGAAGAGGTGAAGCGAGAGGTTTCACTCTCGCCAAAATATATCAACAATTTGCCCAATGCGTTTCTATGGGCTTATTTTTTACCTAAGCTTGTCGCCTGGCTTCCTGCCTTTGGGTCAACGACTCCCATTGTTAGGGCAGAGACATGAGCATCTCATCATTATATACAGATCTCTGTTTTGGGTACAAAACGTCTACCTGAGGTTGAACCTCAGACGGTCAAAGGCACAGAACTGGACCCGACCAGCGGTCCCGAGAACACTGGATCTGCCCTGTAAAGAGTTACTAAACATTTCTAGAGTGTTTTACCAATCTTATCCCAAATCTTATCTCAAACTCTATGGTAGTTATTGTCCAAAGAACTGTATCTTGTCTGAGAATACTTGGAACACCTTATTGTTGTCCCTTGAAAGGTTTTAAACGATTCTGGACTTTTCCACCGATCTTATCCCACCTCTGGTTGTTGCTCTTGTCAAAATAACTTTTTCCTGCCTATATTTTTTTGGAGAATACTCTGTGGGAGTCCTAGAACCTTTAGCAAACTTGATCTAAACCATTTTGCTCCCTGGATTGAGATAAATGTTTAAAGATGGTATCCGCAGTAGGCAAAACAGCGGCACTGTCCGCCCCCACGGCCGTTGTTATTGTTTTTGTTTTGTTGACGAAGCAGAGCTGGGGAGTGTCGCGCATCGTGGTAAAAAAAATTGCATTACATTTGCTTCTGTTCTATCGCGCGTACAATGATGTCCCAGGGAAATAACCTGTATTAGTTGTTTGCAGTAACTTCTTTGTTGTTGTAATATCGCAAATGGACGTGGCAGTTTCACCATTAGGGAATCCAGCTTTAAGTTTATGTCAAGAGGAGTTTGACTGGTTTTAAGGTGACAGGTTCTAAGGTTCTCAAGTTTGAGGTTGGCAAAATGAGAGTCCCGTTGACGCAGAACTTTATTGGACTGACTGAGTGGACCTAGCCTGGTGCCAGATCTGTTTGTGCGGTCTTGCCATCTCCTATGGCCATTGTCATGCATGACATGCATGCACAAACAGATCTGGGACCAGGATAGAGTGGACATTGTTGGAGATAAAACTCACAGCTCCTCTAATCAAAACCAATACAACTCAGTGTCCTGTCTCTCCATAGACCTTCTACAGTACAATACAGGGAGATACTAGGCCTACTGGACTTCTCATAGAGTGGACTACAGTCAACCCCTGATAAATGCAAGGACTTAGGGCTGTTATGAATGTATGCAGTAAACTAGAGGATGCAGATATTCAGAGGATTTATGTGAGTTGGGACTGGGGAACTGCAGGGTTTGTTCTTACCCAACTGTGCACTTATCAGGAGTCGACTGAAGTTACTCTAGTTTCTTTTCCAAACTTAACTGGTTGACTGGACTGGTATTGCTCATATTGGGGACATTTGTACAGGTGAAGAATGATTTAAGTCAGCCAAATACACTAATAGTCAAATTTTCATTCCTGTCTCCCTCTTTTCAGTATGTTTGTCATAACAGTTTAACAGTGCCCTTTTTCAGGTCTTGGAGTTGACACAGTGTACAGAGTCCAAGAGGAGCAAGGGCTACGTTCCCATTCTTTACCCTTCTGGAAGAGTGCACTCGTTCACTCCCCCTCATGGATTTAAAAGGAATGGACTGGTGTGAAGAATACGATGGAAACTCCCTCCAGCCTTGCTTTTACCAATCCAATACATAAGCATGATGGGGAGTGAATGAGTGCACACTTCTAGGTAAAGTGTAGAGAATCGTAATGCAGCCATTGAGTTTTACCCTTCACACATGTCCTTTAGTATAGTTTATCTACAACACACTGAGTATTTATTTTATTTCGTATTAAGGCTTCTCTGTTTTTGCAGAAAAAAACAACGTTATACAAAAGTTGTGAAAAGGCTGTACTGTGACATATTGCATAATCACCATAGTTAAGTGTTTGTTATGGTCATTTGTTATAATTACTTATATTTCCATGTTATTTATCGTCTCCATTATTACTTTACTAACGCTATGTACAAAAAACAACTTCCTGTGTCTGTGTCAGTGTCAAATTACATATCGATTCAAGAAATGAATTCCAGGAAGTGAATTGAAATTCTAATTCAAGAATCTGAAAAATTCTTATTTGGAATACATTTCACTTTTCAACTCTTAAATTAGGAATTTCAATTTCTATCTCCTTTGATTCATTGACTGAATTTATATTGAATTAACCTCAAACCTGACGAACAAACACACTCAAGTGTGTGTGTGTTTGAGTCTCCCACTCAGAAAGGGGTGTGCAGGTGCGTGATGTGCTGCGTGGGCGAGGCGGCGTTGGGGGCAGAGCTATTTGATAGGTGGGAGGAGTTAGGGGAGGAGTCAGTGAGCTGCAGTTCCTCTAGCTTTTTCAGGTATTCATCTCTCAGTGCCAGGAGCTCCATGTAACGCTGTTCCACTGGACTCTGCTGCTGCAGAATAGAATAGAGACGGGTAGAGTAGAGTATGATAGGATAGAATAGATTACAACCACCACCAGGTGGAAGCAGAGAGAGGGGGATGAGAGAGAGGAGGGATGGGGAAAGATGAGAGGAGGGATGGGGAAAGATGAGGGGAAGGAGAGGAGAGGGGATAGAGGCAAAGGGGGAGGAGAAGGGATAACATAATAAACACCACCAGGTGGTGCAGACGAGAGAGAGAGAGAGAGGAGAGGAGAGGAGAGAGAGGAGAGGAGAAGGAAGAGGAGGGAGACGATGAGGACTAGGAGAGGGAGAGAGGAGAGGAGAGATAGAGGAGAGAGGAGATATAGAGGCGAGGAGTAGGCAAGGGAGAGGAAGTAGTACGGACTCTGCCAGGACATTCTGCTCGGACAGAAAGAAAGAAGAACAGAGAAAGAAAGAGAGAGACAGAGAAAGATAAGAGAGAGACTAGAAAGAAGACCTAGAGAGAGAAGACACGATCGAGAGAGAACAGAGACAGAGCCAGAGAGACCAGAGAGAGAGAGACGAGAGAGAGATAGAGAGATAGATAGGACTGATAGCAGAGAGAGAGGAGAGAGTGAGAAGTGAGATGGAGAGACGAGAGAAGATGATAGGTGAGATGGGGGATGGCTGATGTGGAGCGAAGAGGGAGAGAGAGAGAGAGGGGGGGGGGTAGGGAGCGGGATGAGGAGGGGAGAGTGAGAGAGGGGTGAGAGAGGAGGTGTGGGGGAGAGAGAGAAAAATACTTTAATGATATGCAAACAATGGAAAAAGATCAGCATATAAACAAAGAAAGAGGTGTACAGACAGATGTTTTTTTAGTTTTTTTTTTTACATGTACATTCTACACACATTTTACATACATGGCATTTGTTCCCACAGTAGTAACAGTACATAGCAATAATATAGTTATTTGATATACATTACATCTGGATAGATAGTACTTAAACACAGGGGTGTCAAACTCATTCCATGGAGGGCCTAGTGTCTGCTGGGTTTTGGATTTTCCTTTTAATTAAGCCCGAGACAACCAGGTGAGTGGAGTTCCTTACTAATTAGTGACCTTAATTCATCAACCAAGTACAAGAAACCCGCAGACACTCTGCCCTCCGTGGAATGAGTTCGACATATGACATACTGTACACATTATATATTGTGTTTTCAGTCATAACTATTACAGTGCATTCTGAAACTATTCAGACCCCTTGACTTTTTCCACATTTTGCTACGTTACAGCCATATTTTAAAATGGATTAAATCGTTTTTTCCCCATCAATCTACACACAATACCCCATGATGACAAAGCAAAAACTGGTTTTTTATAAATTTTAGCAAATCTATAAAAAAATTAAAACTGAAATATTACATTTACATAAGTATTCAGACCCTTTACTCAGTACTTTGCTGAAGCACCTTTGGCAGCGATTACAGCCTCGAGTCTTCTTGGGTATGACGCTACAAGCTTAGCACACCTGTATTTGGGGAGTTTCCCCCATTCTTCTCTGCAGATCCTCTCAAGCTTTGTCAGGTTGGATGAAGAGAGTCACTGCACAGCTATTTTCAGGTCTCTCCAGAGATGTTCGATCGGGTTCAAGTCCGGGCTCTGGCTGGGCAATTCAAGGACATTCAGAGACTTGTCCCGAAGCCACTCCTGGGTTGTCTTGGCTGTGTGCTTAGGGTTGTTGTCCTGTTGGAAGGTGAACCTTCGCCCCAGTCTGAGGTCCTGAGCGCTCTGGAGCAGGTTTTCATCAAGGATCTTTCCAAATCATGTCCAATCAATTGAATTTATCACAGGTGGACTCCAATCAAGTTGTAGAAACATCTCAAGGATGCTCAACGGAAACAGGATGCACCTGAGCTCAATTTCGATATATTGATGATTGATTGACTATGGCTTTCCAAATCTCCCTAACAGTGCTATTTGTAGGGTTCATTTTAGGTAAATGTTGTGATTTTTCAGCCATTCCTGAACCTGTGACCAGAAACAAGCTACATAGGGGCAATACCAGAATAAATGATCTAATGATTCTGTCAGTTAAGATGGTTGTAAGCCCATAACATTCTGTTGTTGGCAAGAATTTTGTATAATAATTTCAATAGAAAAAAACAGCCATGGAATTGGCACATTGAAAATCTCTTCCCAACTATTTTGCAACCTGTATCACGCCGTTGTCAACATTTTGGTCCTCAAATGAAACAGGTATATTTTTATTTTATAAAAATACATGGAAATGTTTGCTCTAACTGCACATGTGACATTACTCCACCTTTCCTATTCATAATATCATTACTAAAGTTCCTTATTTATTTATTTTTATTCCATAAAGAATGTTTTTTTTTTTTTTATCAATTAGTATATTTGAGTTTAACCATAATATTTGTTGTAGTATTTGTTCTGTCTTTTCTGGGGGATGAAACTGGAATTGCAACCAGCTATGTATGGCTTGTTTTAGAAAGGGCAATATTTAGAAAATGGTTCCATTTTCAATTAACAAAGTGAGAGGTTGTAATCTGGATAAAGGGGAAAAGGCCATTTTTTAACAAGGCGTGAGCCATTCTAACTAATCTACTGTAGAACCAGTTCAGGTTTAAATATATGTTTTGTATGACTGATGCTTTTAGTGAGAGGTTTAATGATTTAATATTTAATAATTTTAGCCCCCCAAACTCATATTCATCACACAATTAAGCACGTTTAATTTTGTATATAATATAATATATAAAAGTCATTTAGCAGACGCTCTTATCCAGAGCGACTTACATGAGCAATTAGGGTTAAGTGCCTTGCTTAAGGGCACAGACAGATTTTTCACCTAGTCGGCTCGGGGATTAGAACCAGCGACCTTTCGGTTACTGGCACAACGCTCTTACCCACTAAGCTACCTGCCGGCTTTTCGTTCCAAATAATGTGAAATATATTTTGCTCATATAATGAAACAAAACGAATTGTTCAGCATATGCAGGGCCATAAGTAAATAGGTAAACTGGGATATGACTAAATAATTAATCAGGGAGATTTTTCCACAAATAGACCCTACAACATATGGTCAAAGGACTCAATCCTGACTTGAGATTCAATAAGAGACTATTTTTCTGTCAATTCTGCATTGATATTAATGTGAGGTTCCTCTTTAATCCAACTCTTCAGTCAGCACTCTGTTCTATGGTAGCAAGATCTTATCTATTTTTGCTAACTTTCTATAGAAATTTGTTGTAGTGAAGTCATTTATTTCTTTAGGGATATGAATACTGAGTATGTCCACTTCACCGTCAGACCATTTTATTGGTAAACTACACGGTAATGTAAAAGTTGTATTTTGTAGCGATCCAATACGTAATATGGTACACTTATCGTACAATAGTTCAGTTGTAATCCAGAGAGGTTTGAAAAATTATCTAGATCCTTTTATGAGACTGTGCAGGGATCCAGATTGCGAATTTAAGAAGAAACCTGAGTTGTCAGCATACAATGACACATTTGTTTTTAAGCCTTGGATTTCTAGCCCCTCTATATTATTGTTGGATTTGATGTTAATAGCTAACATTTTATGGCCTTAATAAATAGATACGCCGACAGCGGACAACCTTGTTTTACTCCGACAGTTTAATTCTTTCTGAGAAGTAGCCATTATTTGTTATTTTACTAACTAATAAACTAATAACTTGAACCCATTGTATAAGAGATTCTCCTAAATTAAAATAGTCCAGGCCGTTATTTATGTCATACTTTATCAAAAGCCTTTTCAAAATCTGCTATGAATACCTGGGTTTCCAGATTTTCTAGTTTCCAGTACTTGTCTTATATTATCTCCAATGTATCATCCATGTAAAAAACCTGTCTGATTAGGATGAATAATATCGGACAATACCTTTTTAATTTTATGCGCTATGCATTTTGCTAGGATTTTTGCATCACAACACTGAAGTGTAAGGGGCCTCCAGTTTTTTAGGTGGACTGGATCTTTATACTTACCACCTGGGTCCTGTTTCAGTAATAGTGAAATCGGACCTTCTTGCTGAGTACTTGATAGTTTACCATTTTTATAGGAGTGGTTAAAACATGCTAATAGTGGATCTTTGAGTACATCAAAAAAGGTTTGATATACCTCAACTGGTATGCCATCCAGCCCTGGAGTTTTCCCTGGCTTAAAGGCTTTAATTGCATCAAGAAGTTCCTCCTCTGCAATTTGGCCCTCACATGAGTCTTTCTGTACAGCTGTTAATTTTACACTATTAGGAAAACAATCCTTACAGTTAACTTCAGTTAGTGGAAATGGAGGAGAATATAATTTGGGGAATCATGGTTGACTGTGTGTGTAGGTGTTTTGTGTAAAGTGGATTTTCAGCTCCAGTGACTCAGGCCATGCCGAGGGGGGCGAGGGATGTTTGGGCAAGAGTGGGTGTTGGGGGTGTGGGTGAATGTCTGTGTGTATGTGTGTGTTGAGGACGGGAGGGGGGTTAAAAGAGTTAGAGGGAAAGAAGGGTGTTTAGTGGTGTGTGTGTGTGTGTAAGAACTGGAGGGGGCAGGCAGCGGGTGCTCTACACACATACACAATTATTATTTAATTTACACACACACTGTGAGCCCTATAGGATGCCACGGCATCACTGCTGCCAAACCAACCAATCCCCTGAGGCGATATTTCACACTCAGACTGACCACAAGATAACCCCAACTGATTGGCCGGTGTATTTGACTGACAGTATGGTATATTCTGTGTTTTGGCTAAATCCTAACAAAAAGTCAGCTAGCCAACTAGCTTACATGGATTACATTTATGTTATAACTGTGTAACATCAGTTGTCAAAAGTTCACATTAACTATTTAGGACATTGGTTATGTGATTGTTATAGCAGTATTATGTAGGCCTTATGAACGAGGGTCTAGATAACGATACAGTATATTAACTGGACTAAATGTGTGATATGACTGTGTAATGTCAGTTGTCATAAGCGGCAATGTCCGCTTATGCCGTTATGACAGTGTTATGGAGCCTTATTACAGAGAGCAAAGTGTAACCATACTTTCATTTATTCATCCATCCATCCTCCCATCCCCTCCCCTCATCCATCTCTACCTGTTGTCGTATGCGTGGGTTCCAGCGGATGTAATAAGTCACCCAGAGCTCTAGGTGTCTCATGCTGGCTACGGGGTAGAGGACCCTACCGGACTCAGGAGTGTAGAAGGGGTTCAGGTAGGAAGTATAGTCACTGTTCACCAATGACCACAGGGACACAGTCTTAGACCGCAGCTCCTGGAGAGAGAGGAGGAGAGAAGAAGACAAATAATTTGTTTAGAGAGAGTGAGAGAGCGGGACGGAGGAAGAGAGAGAAGGGGTTCAGGTTCATCAACGACCACAGGGACACCGTCTTAGACCGCACCTCCTGGAGAGGAGTATACTACTTTATTTAGAGAGAGAGAGAGAGCGAGAGAGAGAGAAGTGGGAAGCATCACTGTTCACCAATGACCACAGAGACACCGTCTTACACCGAACCTCCTGGAGGGGAAGAATACAAATAATTTGACCCTTATGCAGTCCACAGATTTTTACACTGGGGTGTAAAGGGAGAGGTGTGTGTAGATAAGAGGGTATCTGTGTTTTCTAGATGTGCTGTTGCACAGACAGTCTCTTTGTTTGTGTCATAGAGTGACAGTGCAGTGTGTACTACTGTGTGTTGCATCCCCCCATAGTGCATGATTCCTGTCTGTTTGAAACTCAGAACCAGCGATGCGTCCCATCTTTCTTCTGCTCTACTTCACATGATCAGGATGGAGAGAGGGAGGGGGAGGGAGAGTGGGGGGACAAAGAGAGGGAGACAGAAATATTATAGATAGGGAAAGGGTTGGAGATGAAGAGAAAGAGAAATATTGTAGAGAAGAGAGGGTATTAGAAAGGAGGAAATGACCAAAAGATAGAGAAGTGGGGCTCTGACTCATTATGTTGTGGTCTCAGATACTTGCAGTTGTAGAGGAACAGAGAGAGCGATAAACAGAGAGAGGAAAAAATAGATTTTGAGGAGAGAATAAGGAAAGTGACAGAAATAGAGTGATAAAGAGATCGTAACAGTCTGACTTACGTTGGTGTCCCTAGCGCTTTCACAGTTGTAGAGGAAGGTTCCAAAGCGACAGCTGAACAGGTGGTCCAGGATGGTCACTAGGAGCCGCTCGTTGAACTCAAACGCTGTCGGGAACTGATGGGGAAAAAAGGAGAGAAGAGAGGAGAAGGAGAAAGAGGGAAATGTAAAGCCTGGTTCGAAAACAACTCGTAGGCTCTGTCTCAGTTCATCTTTCCTTGATTCCTTGCATCCTCTCTCCTTACTTCCTTCTCAAAACCCATTGGAGAAGAAGGTACAAGGGGAGAACCCTTGGACCTTCTCCTCCAATACAGTTGAGAAGGTGGAGAAAGATTGAGATAGAGCCGTAGCCATACACAGGTGAGTGTGTGTATGTGTACCTACCTGTTTGGTCATCTGCCAGACACAGTCTATGAACTGTACAAAGATAGGAGACCTATCCTGGTCTGCATGGTTCTTATCCCCGTGTCCTATCCTCTACACATACATACATACATACATACACAGACAGAGAAACAATATGGCGTGTTATCAGCTTCCTGTCACTGTAGTTTGTACTTTCTGGTCATTTACATACTGTTAGACAGAGGTGATATCTATGCAATAAGACTGTCATAACATTGCAGACAGTATAGTTGCTCTCAACAGGGAAGTTGTATAACAGCTGGTACATCACTTCACATAAAAAAACTGGAGTGACAATTGCAGCCCTGGGACACAGTTTCATGCAAGAGTGAGGGCACACATACGTTTCTAGAAATAATTAGTTATATAGAAATAAAAAAAACTCTGAACATGGACAGCACAGAGCCTGGTTTTCCTGATCATAAATGTGATTAAATGTCTACGAGGAGAACAAAAAGCCTTTGTCTGACTTACGGAGGCAAACTTGTGTCCAAAACTGATCCACTCCTTCTCCAGCAGTACCTGAATGAATGAATGATTCATATTTATACAGCTAGTTGTCTCATCAATTTGAGTACAACAATTCATACATACGTGGAACCCTTGTTCTTCCCTTACCCCTTCTCATTCTCTCCCTTCCCTCCCCCCCTTCCTTCCTCCCGCCATCCCTCCTACTCACCTGGAAGCCCCTGAGGGTGCGGTAGTGGCTGTCCAGCATCAGCATGGCCAGAGAGGTGAGCTGGGCCGTCCGGTCCCACCCATCACTACAGTGGACCACCACAGAGTTACCCCCCGATATCTTATCTGCTACCTGGATGGCTCCGGAGAGGACGAGCTGGAGAGAGAGAAAGACAGTAAGAGAGAGCGAGAGAGAGAAGAAGAGAGTTAAAGTCACTGCAGTGGACCACCACTCTGTTATCCCCACTGATCTTATCTGCTACCTGGATGGGTCCCAATTACACCAGCTAGAGAAGAGGAGAGGCAGGGTTGGGCTCAATTCTAATTGAAGGCAGTCAATTCAGGAAGCAAACTGAAATTCCAATTCAATGATTGACAAAAACGTCTTGATAAACTGAAAGGGAGAAGCTATTTATTTTTTATTCAAATCACTTCCTGAATTGACTGACTTCAATTCGAATTGAGCCCAACCCTGGTGCATGCGTACATGTGTGCAAATCCCTACCTTGATGTGTTCTAGCCAGTGTGTAGACTCCAGACTAGACAGCCAGTGTGACTCCTCTACATTGGGATAGACAATGTCCTTTAGCTTCTTCAGTGACTCTCTCATGACGTGGATGTTGTGTATGTCCAGAAACACCAGCTCAGCGTTCTGATACGTGTCGTCACCCTCGTAACCCCCACCCGTGGCCTATAAGGATGGGATAGAGGTTAGAGGTCAGGGGTTAAGGTTAGAGAGTGATGTCATCATTCATAGACAAAAAATCACTGAGCCTGTTTGAATACTGACAAAATAATTATAGGGGCCATTTTGAGACCTTAAGGAGCATCAGGTACTACTGGAATGTCTACCAATGGCGTGTCCATCTTTTTGTGATAAATTACACTGGTCACTCTAAACATTTATAAAGTATTTATAAAGTATAAATAGCCCTCACTTTAGATGAGGCCTTGCAAAAAGATTTCACTAATGATTAGTAAATGGTTTATAAGGACCTATATTCAACATCTTATGAATGATCTTATGAATCATAACATACTTTAAAAGATGTTTATAAATGTGTGAATAACTAGCTTACTAACATCTACAAATGTAGGAGTGATGATTAATAAATTATGAATAAACTATTTACTAATCCATTATAAATGCCTTATTCCAAGGTGCTACCCATTCCTCCCTTGAGGGTATTCAAACAGGGTCATTTGTAAATGCTTTGGGGTTTTGATCAGTCACTGTGGGCACAATGTGCAGAGGGTAGCTAGCTGTTAAAAGCCTCTCACTTGGGTGTCAGACATTTTGGGATTATCATCATAGACTCCATTCCATTTCACTCCCAGCAGCGTTGTGCGGTGTGTGTTACATCACACTCCAATACACACTCACACACAGTGTAGTTGTGTCCTCTTAGCTTCTAAACTCTACCTCCTCGGTTCTGACTTCTGACACCAGTAAACAATGTAGGATACTACTAGCAAGGCCCTACAGTAGACAACAAGAGAACACAACAGTCCATTCTCTGTGGATGTCAAAAAGACACCATAACCAACACACCTCCTTCCAAAACATTGCACCGTATCACCCTTTGTCTCTATGTAGCAAAGTTTTGCTGTGACGTAGGACATCACCTGAAAAACTCCATACCATAGATTCCTCACTAGCGTCCCTATATATGTAAATAAAAAGGGTGGAAGTGTCCCTATTTGAGCCATTGACCCCATTGTGATCTTTCAGTGACCTTTGTCCCCTGACCTTGTTGGCAACGGCATTGACGCTAGGCCGTGCGTCGTAGATGGTGAGCTTGGCAGTGCCGTTGGCCTCCCGGATCACGTCCAGGTAGCGCTCGTCGTCCTTGTTCCTCTTCCCAGACATCCCCACCAGAGGCTGGGAGCAGCGGCAGATAACGGCCTGGTTCTCACGGTGGATCCAGGATAGGACCTAGAGAGAGAGGAGAAAGAGAGAAAGACGGAGTGTTAGAGCGAGTGAGAGAGAGTGTTAGGTAAGTTTGGAGGTGGGAGACGGAGGGGTGCGGGAGAGGGAGGGGGGTTGGGTGGAAGAAAGTAAGAGAGACATAGAACAGAGGGATATGATAGAGGGATAAAGAGATGGAGGAAAAGAAAGAAGAAAGGAGAAGGAAGAAGGAAAGCGGGATAAGGTGAATAGAGAGAGGGCAGGAAGAGTGTGAGGATAGGATGAGAAAAGGGGGAGTTACCGGTATGCGTCCTCGCGACCTGAAGGTAGACACTTTCCTCAGGTCTTCCTCTGTAGTTTTGAAGGGAACCACCAGTATGGTGGGGTAGGTGTCACACAGCTCATAGTTCTCATTGATGAACGTGATACGCCACTTGTCAGTGGGTAAGCCCTGGGGACCGGGGTAGACAAACAGCCAATCAGAGAAGAGATGACAGGTTGTTACTCAATCGGAGGCATTATTGGTGAGGTCCAGTACTACATCACTGATGACAGGAAGAGGACAGTATTTAAACAGACTAAGTACAGGTAACTGCCAAAATAAAAGAAACACCAACATAAAGTGTCTTAATAGGATGTTGGGCCACCAATAGGCTTGGGCAGTATACCGTATATACCGTATACAGGGGTATTTGGAAAAAGCCACAGGATGGTTTTTCAATACCGTCAACACCGTTGAAACTATTTCTTTGAAGTTTTTAAATACATTTGAATATTTGTAGCTACTTTTTAAGTAAATACCTGCAGTCAACTTGTGCAATACATTAGGAGATAAAGAACATTGCGTTCTTCATTTCACCTGTCACATTATTATGTAGCTTATGGTAGTCCCAAGTCACGTGGTGTTTGTTTACAAGCACACAACGACAAGAGACCAGAGCCTTGTGAGTCACTCACGGTCATGTAGCATGCAACAGGTGATCTAATTACAGTATGGAATTCACAACTAAATGTTTGCCAGCTAGATATCTTATAACTATTAAGTTAACTGTCTAAAATGTGCTAAACGCTCTGCAGTTGTGCATTTGGTTAGCTAATTTAGTAGCTAGTTAGCTATCTAACTAAGGCCTCCTGTAGCTCAGTTGGTAGAGCATGGCGCTTGCAACACCAGGATTGTGGGTTCGATTCCCACAGGGGGCCAGTATGAAAAATGTATGCACTCACTAACTGTAAGTCGCTCTGGATAAGAGCGTCTGCTAAATGACTAAAATGTAAAATGTTAGCTTCTTCCAAAATCATGCATTCACTTGGTAACAGCAGAGAATCCCTTCCTGGATCAAGAGCCTTGCTGGCTAATATTCATTTTGTGCGTTAAGCAAACTGTGAGTAGCATCTTTGAGTTACTCGTATAGTTTAGGTCAGAAACTGTACAAAATGTGCGCTCATTAGCATTTAGTTAGCATTCTCTATGAGGATTAGTACTTTTTAAATAAATACCTGCAGTCAACTTGTGCACTAGATAATAGATAAAGCAGATCGCGTTTATCATTTCTCCGTTAGATCATTTTACATTATGAAACTTTTTCATTATGAAGCTTACCGGTACTAGTTTCCGAAAACAGCGGTTTGAGACAGTCATGTGTGTTTGTTTACAAAGAACAACGAGCAAAATGGGAGCTTTGTGAGTTGAGTCACTCCTGCAGCACAACTTAAGTGAGGTGATCAAGTTACACTTGTACTAATGTTTGCCAGCTATATATCTTATAACTATTAAGTTAACTATCTAAGATGTGCCAAATAAATTCTCTCCAGCTGGGTTTTGCTAACTTGCTAATGTTAGCTAAGTGACTAACAGTAGCTTGCAAGATCAAGCTTCTTGGTAACAGCAGCAGAGACAATCCCCTCCTGGATTAAGATCCCTGCTGCATAATATTTGTTTTGTGCGTGCTGAAAACTGCGTTTTGAGATACTTGCATAACTTTATGCGCTGGGTTGTCTGTCCTAGTAGTAAATGTTTGCATGCGCTCATTAGCATTTACCTAGCATCTGCTACGATAATTCCTTAGTACTTGTAAGCATTTTGTTAGCATTCTGGTAAGTGACGTTTTTTGGGGCTTTTTTTACGTTTAAAAAAAATATATAGCCCCTTGTGTGCACTACCGGTAATACTGTATATCCCTGGATGACACAGGCACGGTATGAAGGTATAGAAATCTTGATACCGCCCCCAAGCCTAGCCACCACAAGCCAGAACAGCTTCAATGCACCTTGGCATAGATGTCTGGAACTCTATTGGAGGGATGCGACACCATTCTTCCACAAGAAATTCCATCATTTGGTATTTTATTGATGGTGGTGGAAAATGCTGTCTCAGGCGCCGCTCCAGAATCTCCCATAAGTGTTCAATTGGGTTGAGATCTGGTGACTGAGAGGCCATAGCATATGGTTTACATCGTTTTCATGCTCATCAAACCATTTAGTGACCACTCGTACCCTGTGGATGGGGGCATTGTCATCCTATGAGGGCATAGACATGGAAGCCAAAATAATGGCCTGCCTAGCATTTTTATACATGATCCTAAACATGATGTGATGTTAATTGCTTAATTAAGTCAGGACCCACACCTGTGTGGAAGCATCTGCTTTCAATATACTTCGTATCCCTCATTTACTCAAGTGTTTCCAATATTTTGGCAGTTACCTGTAAGTGACTGAGTTAAAAGCGGAGGCATTGGACCTGGCCCAATAGACACATAAAACCTATAAGACTTGTCATAGCAATGTAATGACACATTTAATAAGACAATGATAAGGCTTACCTGCCGCCTGAACTCTTCTATGGGCTTGTAGACACTCCAGCCGTTCTCTTCATATTTCTCCTGACTCAGGTACGCAAACAGAAGCTGAGGGAGAGAGAGAATGTGATTGACTTGTCATTACAGACGTTGTATTTGTCACGCAAACAACATGGGAGAGCTTCGCTAAGTAAACTGCTCTTTGTGAGTGATTGTTTGATGACTCTACTCTAATGATGTGCAAAGACAAATAACAGGCCACCTCAAACTGACAAACTCTAATAAAGCACTTGTCTTGTACAATTATATAGTTGTTAAACAGTTATTAAAAGTGGTAATGACATCAGGTGAGACTAAATAAAAAAGGTGTGTAAGTACCAGGCCGTGGGATAGTGGAAAGGCGTATCTAAAGAGTATATCGAAGATGTCTCTTCTGCTGTGGCCCTCTTGCTTCAGCGCAAACCTCAGGTTCCTCATGTCCTGTTGGGAGACACACACACACAAACACGCACACAAAATGCTGTCAGTACAAAATAAATAGTTGTAGTCTTTGATGTTGTAACTTCCTGATCCAAGACTGGAATTAACGTCTCTGAGCACAATGTAAAAAAATTAAAATATTGGTTCATTCCGATTATATCTGACAGACTAGGACTGAACCATTGTGTATAAAATAGGGGTGTCAGGGCCATGATGAAGTATCTTACCTTGCAGGTGATGTCCAGCCCGTATGAGTTCTCCCCCCGACTGGAGGCTCCGCCCATCTTCTCCACCCGGCCAATGGCACCCAGCGGAACGTTCAGAGTCACCGAAGGGTCCTGTGATGTCACAAGAAATAAAAAGACACGTGATTGGTCCTGCTGGGATTCCTGTTTTATCACAACAGAACACGCCATAAATTGATGATTGGTCCTGCCGTAGTTGAATTGAAATAATACTTGATATTGGTATTGAGAGGGCACAAACCATTTATTGTGTAATGCACTAAACTCTTGAATACGCTTTATGTAGCCAATATTTAATCTGCATGATAGCGGCAGATTTATTAAGTAAACCCTTAGTAAAGCATAGGCCCAAGTAGCAGGCACTTATTCTAATCACGTGCATCAGTTCAGAGTCACCAGAGTTTGTGTGTGTATGTGTGTAGGAGAAGTAGTATGAGGTCAGCATATTGTTAAAGTGTTGTCAGATGTTGTATTACAGACAGTGGAGTATGCGTTCCAAATGGCTCCCTATTCCATATCTAGTGCACTACTTTTGACCAGAGCTATATGGGCCCTATGGGTCAAAAGTAGTGCACTAAATAGGGAGCCATTTGGGATGTAGCCTAGAGTAAGGAGCTTTGCTGCTGCAGTAGTGTCCCTGTAGACTGTAATAACCTACTCCATCACTGACACACACTAAATAACACACACACACACACACACACACACACACACACACACACACACACACACACAGACACACGGATGCACGAGCACACCACACCTCGCTCCCTGACTGATGATCTCTGATAGAGCCAACCTTGGGACCTCCATGTCTGCTCCATCTATCATTCTTAATCTATCATTCTTCTCTCTTGTTCTTCTCCCTCCATCAACTTGTCAACAATGCCCCCATACCTCTCCAACGGCAACAACAGACCCTGGCAACCGGCCCCGGCAACATTACAAACTGAAAACAATAGTGCAAGTGCCCACGGAACTGTGCCACACATTGGTGGTGCCAGGAGAAAGAGAGCGAGAGGGAGGGATTAAAGAGCGAGAGAGAGGGAGAGAGAGAGAAAGGGATTCCCCTCTTTTTGTTGTGTTGGAGATTAAGATCTTGTCTAAAACACGAAGAGTGAAAGTGAATATACCAGAGAGACTAGATTACACCTAGAGGCACAAGGTTGCTTTATTTAAGACCGTGTGGTTATATCCATATCCAAATAACCTGGACAGGGCCAAGTCACACACAACTACACACAGACAGCAATAGCAGACACGCACAGTATTGTAACACTTGATTAAGGGCCTCTTCTCACTATGAGAGATTGCCTACAGTAAAAATCATAATAGCAGAGCAATGTTTTTGAAACAGCTGAAATGTATAGGCATTTTCCTTATATTAGAGAAATGTTTTATTTAGTTTTTACCTGAAATTGCAGTAAAAGCCGGTTACTCTGAAATTGACGCCGTGGCGTGAAGGGAATCACAGAAGACAATTATTTCATTGCAAAAGCAAGCAGGAAAGCAAGCAGCAACTCCCCAGTGAATGAACAACTGTTTCAGTCACAATTAGCTTTGTAGGCCTAATTATTTGCATGATATTGATGAAATGAAGCATGGTTTGTTCAAAGCCAGGCTGAAAATCAATCTAGCTAGGTATTGTTCAGCTAACGTTAGCCAACTTAGCTAGTAAGTTAGTATTTATTTATTTGACATTTTGCAGGATGTAATCTCTTGAGATCTCGATTCCAAGTGTCCAAATAAATAATAACAAAAAAAGCAATACTTAATAACAAGAATAATATAGCAACTACTGTCTAATAATAATAACAATGGAATACATTTTTATTATTACTAATAGGCCTACAACTAATAAAAACCACTACAACTACTAATACAACTAAGTACCTATTATATATTCATACATATTTACAAATATCTTCACATGGTGATGCTTGTATTAGTTAAAAAACACAGTTTGTTCTTAACATTTAAAAAATAGCTCTCTTAAATTCACTGTGTGATTGTAATGCCCTGATTTATATAGGTAAATGATTCCAGTCAGTTGGGCCTTTGTATCTGAAAGATCTTACTCCAGCCTCAAGATGTACCCTAGTACGTAAGGATGCAGACATTTTGTTTAGCTTGCTAGCTACCTAGCTCTGTATAATATGAGTGACACATTATGATAACGTTACTGTACTTTTATATTCGTATGAGGGGTAAATTTTTATTTGTGCTATACTGAAGTTACTTGAAGCAAATGTTAGCTATCTAGCTAGTATCTGTGCCACTTTGTCTGTGTTATTGTCTTGCAGCTAAAATAATGAGTGTATGTATTAAATCAATAATTGAAGTGTCTGCACATGCTTGTGAATGGTTGCATTATTCAAGAGTGTAATATGGTTTTGCTGCATTAATCAAGACTGTAATATGCTAGATGCATGGAAAGTTGTTTGCATAGGCTAGTTGAATATTTTGCATGGTTACTGGCTCGTGCAGCGTTACCCAAACTCGGTCCTCAGGACCCCAAGGGGTGCACGTTTTGGTTTTTGCCCTAACACTACACATCAAAGGTTGATGATTAGTTGATGATTTGAATCAGCTGTGTAGTGCTAGGGCAGAAACCAAATCGTGCACCCCTTGGGGTTCTGAGGACCGAGTTTGGGAAACCCTGGGCTAGTGGCTACTGTGATATTTACGGTACATTTGAGCTGCGACGCAAGAACGTCACCCTAACCCTCTCTCGGCACGGGACATTCCACTGCTAATGTAAATTCAAAAGTTTCTGTACATATTATGTATATTTCTACTTCGTCCCGATGCCTCTCTTCCAACTTTCATAAATCTGAATAAGCGCTAAGAGATTTCAGGTGGGGTAGAGGGTCAGATCGTATTTCCCTCTCATTCCCTTCACAGGTGGCCCTCACAAACCTAGGTGACATGGAGACACTGCATCCTTTCTTCCTCTCCTCCATATCTCTCTTCCTTTCTTTTCATCTCTATGCCACCAACTGCCAATCAACTCCATTCAGAACACATATAGTTGGGTCCTATAACAAGCATACTGTAGCTTATATCGGTAGATAGAGCAATAGAGACTAAGTGGTGGGGGGTTCCCCACTTACAACATTCCCCATCTTCTGCCACTCAGAAAAATAAAACAAAAACATTAAAAAAGGTAGATGCTGTAACTATAAAGTATTGATTGATTTGATCATATTTCAAAGTTTAAGTAATAATAAATTCAGTATATACAGGAAAATAAAATAAAAAAGAAGTTGGCCTCCAACCCCAACCTCCCATCCCATTCCCCCAACTCCACCCAGCCAACATGTCTCCATCCATCATTTTTATTCATGATTCATTCAGGATTATCCGTAATCATGGCAGCATCCACATTCATGTAGCAGTGTTTAGAACCATATTCTATTTTTAGATGGAAGTACGGCTATGTGGGGAGCGAGGGAGAAGGGGGGGTGGGGGGCGCGCCATGTGTTTTTATTGCCATGTGTGTACATGTTAATTGCTCATATGATTTGATATGCCCTGGTATTATTTGACTTGTAGAACGAGTGTCTGATGCGTGAAACCTGCTAATTCTTTGATCAGTTGTGTTTCAATATATATCACTTAAAATAATGTTGGATCTTCTGTTAAAATGACACTCCTTTAAATTAACACAAAGGCTACGCTCTACCTTCAACATGACAATGTTGTCCTTGAACCAGTATTATTTAGTCCTTTATTATTACAACTATTGCATATTTTCTTGTTTTGATCCCATTTCCTATAAAAAGGGGTAAGGCACAGGGGAAGGAGGCTGCTTTTCGGAAGTGGTGTGGAATGGTTGGCGAGCTGTGGTCACTCCTGCCAGTTCCAGTTCCTGTATTGGCCGTCACAGCTACAGCTTCCCAGGCTAGAAGGAAGAGCATAATGAAGCAGCTGGGCATGTAGCAATGTGTTGAGGTGGTGAAAAGTCCTGACAGGGACGACAACAGACTGGCCGTGAAGAAGGTGTCGTCTGACCCTGTAGAGACGTTTTCATGGTTGCTCACAGAGTTGGATTCAAAGGGGCCTGAGAACCCAAGGACTGTCCTATACTGTAAGAGAATTGAAGACTATTCTTTGCTGTACAACAAGGTTTTTCAGCATTTCCCTGGAAATCTGTGCATCCAGCAAGAGCAGAGGACACACTGGAAAACTGGTTTTGGGACCACTTAAGACACCCGAGCACATAAAACTGCACATCATAGCAGTCTTGAAAGAAGAGTCATCTAATCTCAGAGTTATGATGGCTAGGCTACTTCAGCACTGGGAATGGGGGTAGACTTTAAGGGTGTCCAACATGTAGTCAACTATGGACCACCTCAAGACCTTGAGTCTTACTTGCAGGCATATGGAAGAGCGGGGAGGGACGGCACATGCTCACATTCACTTATCCGGTACCAAGGAAGACAGCTTGTTGCAGTTTCAGATAAGATGAGACTATGTGTCAAACAGTACCAGCTGCAGTCGGGTGAAACTGTTACAGCTCTTTGATGATGAGGTCACGCAACCATTATCACCCAAACATGACTGCTGTTACAATTGTGCTACCTCATGCAACTGCAAGGACGTATGTGAGGGCAATGCAAGTCCTTTGGAGAGGCATGCAGGACAATAATTACAACCAAGACATAGGCTGGTCATTAAAGAGCATAGGTCATCCCTGAGAGAGAAATTACATGACCTTGCACTTGAGGTGGCGCACACAGGTGTTCATGGGAGTGTCTGTTTATTGCACATCAGCCAATGAGGGTAACCTTAACAAAATCATTGATAATATTCTGACCGCAATTCCCTTACGTTTCTCAGTTGAGGAAATGTTTCTGCTCTGGCCATTACTGACATGAGACATGCAATAGCCTTACTGTCTATCATCACTGAGGTTTTTGGAGATGATGAACACTTAAGTGATGATGATTTAGTGTTGGGACAACTTGGGGCTTTTGCAAACATGGGGACATTCACATGCTGTGTTGATTAATATTGTAGGTATTGTCTCATACAGTGGGGAAAAAAAGTATTTAGTCAGCCACCAATTGTGCAAGTTCTCCCACTTAAAAAGATGAGAGAGGCCTGTAATTTTCATCATAGGTACACGTCAACTATGACAGACAAATTGAGAAAAAAAATTCCAGAAAATCCCATTGTAGGATTTTTAATGAATTTATTTGCAAATTATGGTGGAAAATAAGTATTTGGTCACCTACAAACAAGCAAGATTTCTGGCTCTCACAGACCTGTAACTTCTTCTTTAAGAGGCTCCTCTGTCCTCCACTCGTTACCTGTATTAATGGCACCTGTTTGAACTTGTTATCAGTATATAAGACACCTGTCCACAACCTCAAACAGTCACACTCCAAACTCCACAATGGCCAAGACCAAAGAGCTGTCAAAGGACACCAAAAACAAAATTGTAGACCTGCACCAGGCTGGGAAGACTGAATCTGCAATAGGTAAGCAGCTTGGTTTGAAGAAATCAACTGTGGGAGCAATTATTAGGAAATGGAAGACATACAAGACCACTGATAATCTATCTCGATCTGGGGCTCCACGCAAGATCTCACCCCGTGGGGTCAAAATGATCACAAGAACGGTGAGCAAAAATCCCAGAACCACACGGGGGGACCTAGTGAATGACCTGCAGAGAGCTGGGACCAAAGTAACAAAGCCTACCATCAGTAACACACTACGCCGCCAGGGACTCAAATCCTGCAGTGCGAGACGTGTCCCCCTGCTTAAGCCAGTACATGTCCAGGCCCGTCTGAAGTGCATTTGGATGATCCAGAAGAGGATTGGGA